AGACAATTTATGGAGTTATGGAGTTTATGGAGTATCTATGAGGGCAGTGGAGGGCAATACAGCCGAGGACGGGGAGGGGACCCCCCACGTCCAGCCGTGCTCTGGGAGTGGGGGGACAGAGTGCTGACTCTTCAGGGAGACACCTGAGCCTTCCAGCTGTGTCTTGGACAGGCAGCTCCTCCGGCTCCCCCAGCCAGGGGCTCTGCCCAGATCTGTCCCCGAAGCTGGGAGCCGGCCAAGCTGGAAATCCCCAGTGAGCAAGTCGCTGGGGCACGGAGAGTAAGGTGAGAGCAGGCTGGAGTCCTGAGAGCCCAAGATGGTTGACGTGAAGGAACTGAAAAATACAGTGGATCATTGTGGATCATTGCCGGGAGAGGGAGAAGCCATGGGCTGGTCTGCAGGTGGCGCCCCAAGGGTGGGATTAGATTGGGAAGCGGAGTCCCAGCAAGGCTCATAGCAGAACTGGGAGGGAGACTTCTCCGGGAGTTGGCGCCTTAGGTAACTCTCACCAGCCACCGTGTGTTGAGGTCTCGGGTGTGCTGGGCCCCCTGCCAAGCGTTTTACACGTGTTACCTCATTGAACAGCAGGAGCTGTCTTTGTCTTGGAAAGCGCTTCCCACATGCTGGACACTGGTCTTAAACTGATTATCTCATAGAATCCTCGTGACAGCCCTGTGTGGCCAGTGCTGTTTTTGTCATCGTCCTCATGACAATAAGGAAACTGAGACACAGTCATTTAGTTCGAGTCATTTACAACTGGCCTGGCACCATCATCGGTACTTTTTGTTGTTGTATGTTATTACTTTTACTTTTTTTTAGGTGTAATTTGCATACAATCCAGTGTACAAATCTTAAGTGTACAGGTCCATGAATTTTTATGTATGTACTGGCGCGTGTAGCTGAGAGCATCTAGATCAAGATCTAGCTGTTTCCATGCCCCAGGAAGTTCCCTTGTGTCTCTTCCCAGTCAATTCCCCTCCAAAGGGTGACCCCTATTCTGATTTCTGTCCCTAAATTAGCACTGTCTGTTAGCAGTAAACTGTTGATCGTAGTTTTATGTCTGGCTTACTTTCTTTCAACTTAACAGCTTTGAGCTTTATCCACGCGTTGTGTGTAGCCGTCGTTTGTACTTTCTGTTTTATTGCCACGCAGCATTCTGTTGCATGAAAACATGACAATTTGTCCATTCTCTGGCTGATGGCTATTTGAGATGTTTCCAGTTCTTTTCTATTATGAACAGAGCCACTGTGGACATTCGAATACGTGTCTTTCGGTGGATTCGTTCACCATGTCTCTTAAGTCTTTACTTAGGAGTGGAAATGTCGGGTTGTGTGGCATGTAGCCTGGGCTCCTAACCTCCGCACCACACTGCCCTTCAAACAGCATAGCAGCCCAGAGGGGCAATGTTGTTATCCTATTTCACAGAGTGGGAAATTGAGGCTGAGAGAGGGTGAGTGGCTTATGAGGTGACTTGGCTAGCAAGGGGCTGAGCTGGACCAGACCTTGAGCCTGGGGATTTGGCCCAGAGCCAGGTGGCTGATCCAGTAAGTGGCATTTTGACTGGTGTGAGGGGCTTTGACCTGCTGCTGGGTTTGATTGAGACCTTGGTGGCTAACCCACTGCTTGGAACTTGGTTCTTTCCTGGGGCTCAAGCCCTATTGGAAAAGCCTTTTGGCCTTAGTATTCTTTGAAGACATGAGGAACATGTCTTAAAAAGGTCCCCTTTCTTTATTTATTAGACTGGAGGTGCTGGCAGCAACGGGCTGAAAGGTGAGGGTAGGAGAGAGCAGGAGGTAATGAAAGAAAAACCAAATTCCACTCCAGGAAGATGACAGGCTTCAAGTTTCCAGATGCTACTGTGGGCTATGTGGGACCTCAGGGTCTCTCAGAGACAGCTTGTGAAGTCCCCTGCTCATCTCTCTGGACCCGGGAGCAGGACCACACCTGTGGTTGATAATATCTGCAAAGTTCAGGGTTTTCCACTCTTTGTTTGATTTTAGTGTTTTCGTGGAGGCAGAGAAGCCACAGGGGTGTGGAATCCATCCCCACCCTCTGCCCAAACACAGGAAAATGTACCCCTCGCTCAGGAGTTGTAAGTTTGAATCTTCAGGCTGACAGCCTCAAATATCATGAAATAGGCAACCCCACGAATAAAGCAATTGCCAGTGGCGCTCGGAGCCCCGCAAGCCCTGGCTGGCAGTGCAGGCCCACCCCGACACCTAACGTCATCATCGTGTGGTCTCTACGTTTTACACCATTCAGCTTTCTACATCTCAATTCTGTACCACGGGACTGATCTCCCACGGACGCTCTAAATTTCTCTCTCCACCAGCAGGGCCACCTTTTCCCTGCATTCCTGCCAGGTGTAGTATTATCATGAAAACGACATCTCCTTCTCTGTGCCTGTCCCTGACTGTTGAGGTCACATCTTGCCACATGGTTGTTAGTGGATCTGCTCTGCTGCAGAGGTTCTCAGCGGACAGTGATTTTGCTCCCCGCCCCTTGGGGACAAGTGGCTATGTCTGCAGACATTTTTGGTTGTCACAACTCGTGGGGGGATGTGCTGCTGACATCTAGTGGGTAGAGGCCGGAGATGCTGCTAACCATTCTGCTAAGCTCAGGACAGCCCCACTGCAAGGAATTATCAGGCCTGAAGTGTCAATAGTGCTGAGGCTGAGAAATCCTGCGCCACTGTGAATTGCTGGCAAGTATTTTTGTCTTTTAAAAAAAAATCAATTTAGAGATGCTCTTTGACCTATGACAGGCATTAGCCCTTTATCTGTCATCTGCATTCCAAATATTTCCCCCAAATCTGTCCTCTTTTAGTTTGGTTTATGGTACCTTTTGCCACACATACAAAAATTAAGGTAGCCAAATGCGTCTTTCATTTTTTATTATAGCCTCTGAGTTTCCCGTCATGGTTGAGGTCTCCCCTACCCTTGTTTGGGACATGTGGCTTCCTATTTCCTCTTAGATTGAGGTTTCTATTTTTCTGTTCATTAGGCCTTAATCCATCTGAAATGGATTTTTGTGAATGTGGGAGGTGAGGGTCCAAATATATTTTTTTCCAGGGGGAGAGCCAGTTGTGGTTTTACTGTATCTTAAATTAACTATCGTTTCCCACTGAATTAAAATCCCACCTCTGTCACGTATTAACTTTGAACACGCGCACACGCTCACACACTCACGTACACACAATTCTGGCCTCCCTCTTCTTTTCCAATGATACCTGTTGATCTTAGGTTAATGCCGTCAGATCTTGATTACACGGCTTTGTGGTATGTGGTACCATAAAGGCCAGTTGTCATCTCCATTTTTTTTCCCCTCAAATAACTTTTTGGTCAATTTCAGACGTTTATTCTTCCTGCTTATTCATCCTTAGGTCCCACAGTAAAGTAAGGGAAGCCCCTCCTTCCTCCTGAGCTGGGCTCCGTCGCTCTGCTTTCTGCATCTGTAGTCAGTGTACCTTCCCTTTGTGCTGCTTACCAGGATCATCTTTAGACAGTCATTGGTTGTTGGGGTCCCTCCTCCTGCCAGCCTAGCTCTGTGCTGTGTCCCCAGCAGTGGGACAGTGCCTGGCACATGGCCGGTGCTCGTTAGATACTGGCTGATGGATGAATGAGTAGGTGAAGTACATCTTTTTTTCTTCAGACATGAAAACTAGTATTGTCTCTTGTGTTGTCTTGGGTACAAGGCAGTCAGAGGTTGGTTTAGTCTTTGTCACTGCCAAGGTGTGGCCTTGGACAGTCGCTGCTCCCCTCTGCCTCAGTTTCCCTACCTGTCAGACTGGACCCCCTGAGCCCTGAGCTCCTCCCACTCTCTCGTGGCTGGGGGTTCTGAGAGGGACGAGAAGCTCTTGGGAGGAGAAGCCCCACTGAGAGCGAACCACCGGGCCGAGCCATCGCAGTGCCGGGGCCCAATGCTGTGAAGGGCCCATGAAAATGTTCCAATTCTTCTAAAATCAGAAGAAAAAAATGAACTTTTAGGCAGAAGAAAATGTTTTAATATATAACAATATGCTCCTCTTTATACCAGTGCAGCCATAAAATACAATTTAAAATATTTTTTCAGTGGAGGAAGGGGCCCATGAAGGCAAGACACAGGGGCCCATGTGCGTCATAATGAGGCCCTGCTAAACACGACCCCAATGGTGAGGTAAAGAATTGGTGTTAGGAGCATAACAGGCCAGGCAGAGTAAAAGCGTCAGGGGAATAAAGGAAAACGGCCACCCCTCTGAGTGTTGCCAGAGACGAGAACACACGATCTGAATATGGGTGTAAGAGACTCCGTTGTCCTCCGGGCTGTTCCCCAAGCAAACCCACGTCTAAGTTGGCACAACAGAGCAAAGAGTACAGCAGCCAGACACCCGGGATCCAGGCCTGGCTGTACCGCATGCTACCTGTGTGACCTCGGGTGAGTCACTTCGCCTCTGGGAGCCTCAGTTTCCTCATTTGGAAAACAGTAACAGTGACACCTTCTTGGTAGGACTGTTCAGTCATTCACACAGTTACTCAACACACGTCTATCGAGCACTTACTATTCCAGACACTGTCCTAGGTGCTGAATACATACAGCTGTGTGCCCAGCACACCCAGCCCAGTGCCTGGCACATAGTAGTTCCTCATTAATCATTTGTTGAGTGAATAATTGGAAAACAGGCCAGGGGGAGAGTGGAAGGAGTACCAAAAATAAATAAGTGATTACATACTTAATGCGTAGATAATGATAAACACGAACACATAATTTTATTAAATGTAAAATGTAATTACAAAGAAAGGAAGGTACCAGGAAGGAAAAGAACAGGACACAGTGACAGAGAAAATGACTGGGCATGAGGAGCAGGACAGGAGAGCTTCTGCTCAGATGGAGTGTTCAGGGTGGGCTTCTCTGAGGAGGTGACATTCAAGTGAGGGCCTGATGGAGGAGGAGGAGTGATTGATGGGAGGAGAGCTCCCGCCCTGCCCCGTGCCCTCCCCCCAGCCTGAGTCCTTGTGTTGCAGGCATCCAGCCGGCGCTCTGGAGCAGGGAGGATGTGCTGCACTGGCTGCGCTGGGCCGAGCAGGAGTACGCTCTGCAGCGCACCGGGGAGCACGGGTTCGAGATGAACGGCCGCGCCCTCTGCATCCTCACCAAGGATGACTTCCGGCTTCGCGCACCAGGTTCAGGTCAGGGAGACTCGCTGGCTTCCCTCTGAAACGTTCTGATGGACACCTGGGTGGGCCCAGGAGGGAGATGGAGGGGGCGTCGGTGGGAGCATCATGCTCCCCTCCCAGCACTGCAGACGCCCCTCTTTCCATGATGTTTGCCTGGTAATTCGCAGCTAGAATCTGCAGTAAAGGAGCCACTTTGGGGGTTGTTTTCAGGGTCGCAGGGGCCTGTCCTGCTTTCTCACGTTCCCCTCCCCTTCCCTGTGGCCCTGGTCTCCCCACCCATTTCCACGCTACCGCCTCTCACGCCCATCAGCACGAAGCTTGTAAGCTTGTGACGGGACAGGACCGCCCTCACCCAAGAGGCAGGTGACTGCAGGGGAAGGCGCTGGCCCTCCCCACCAGCCTGCTCAGCAGCCTGCCCTCCGGCCCCCACCCCCAGGTGACGTCCTGTATGAGCTGCTCCAGTACATCAAGACCCAGCGGCGAGCCCTGGTGTGTGGGCCCTTTTTCGGAGGGGCCTTCAGGCAGAAGATACCCCCTCGGCACTGCCCCTGCCCCCTGGAAGGTGAGGCGGCTCTTCGCGGAGCTCTGAGACCCTCCTCCAAACGAGCCTCATTGGGAGGCAGGGCTTCCTCCAGGCAAAGCAGCGAGAGAGGCGGGATGTGGCCGAGCTCCCCCCTCCTCCCTGCCCTGCCTCCTCACCTCCCTTCTGCCCTCTGGGACACTCCCGGTGGCCCTTGGTACTGCGGCCCTCTGGCTGAGAAGACTTGCCTCTCGTCTCCTCGTTTCTCTGCTCTCCTCTCCGCAAAGAGTTGTTGTGCGGTGTCTCATTTCCCCTCCTCCTGATCTTTCCACGGATACCCCTCTGGTCAGGGTCTCCAGGGATCTGAGCATAGGGATGTCCACATCCCCTCTCAGTCCTTATTCACTGTGACCTCTCACAGCCTTCAACCCAGTGGCCACCCTCCTCCCCCAGACTCTTCCCCTGGCTTCCAGGACACCCCGCGATCGCTCCTTCTCAGTCTCCTGGTCTCTCCCCTTACCCCTACTTGTAAACATTGGGGTGCCCCAGGGCTCAGGGGGCCTCTTCTCTCTCTGTCTACACTCAGACCTGGGTAATCTCATCGGGTCTCGGGTGTCAAATACCACCTAGTGCCGATGGTTCCCATATGACCCGGACCTCTCTGAGTTCCAGACTTGCGCACCCCTCACTGCCTGCCCCACACCGGGTCTCTAACAGGCATCTCAGCCCTAACGGCTCCCAAAGCAAATGCTTGACTCCTGCTCCCCCCTCCGCCAACCCTGCTCCTCTCAGTCTTCCCTCTTCAGCAAAACACAGCTCCATCCTTCCAGTTTGCTCGGGCCAAAACACTGGATGTCATCTTTGCTCACGTTTTCCCTCCCACTCTCATCCCGACTGTCAACACATCCTGTTGGCTCTACCTTCAAAATCTACCCAGAATCTAACCGCTTCACACACCTCCACTGCTGCCATGTCCAGCCCCCATCACCTCTGGAGAAGCTCCTCGCTGGTCTCCTTACTTCCACTCTTGACCTCCTGCAATCTATTCTCAATAGCAGCCAGAGAGAGTCATAAATCAGGTCATGTCACTTCTCTGCTCCAAATCTTCCAGTGGCTCCCGTCTCACGCAGAGTCAAACCCACAGTCCCAACAATGACCTCCCCACCCTCTGCTGTCCTCTCCCACCCATCTCCCCTTTACTCATGCTGCTCAGCCACGCTGGCCTCCTTGTTCATTGAACAAGCCAGAGACACTCCTGCCTCAGGGCCTTTGCACTTCCTATTCCCTTTGCTTGGCATTCCCTTCCCTAAATACCCACAGAGCTCACTCCTCTACCTCCTTCAAGTGTCTGTTCAAATGTTAACATGTCAGTGAGGCCTTCCCTGACCAGCATGCACCTGCACCTTTCCCAAGGTTCCCTATCTGCCTTATAGTGCTTTAGTTCCCCGCATATTGTATACTATTTCTATTTTTTTTTTTTTGTGAGGAAGATTAGCCCTGAGCTAACATCTGTTGCCAATCCTCCTCTTTTTGCTGAGGAAGATTGGCCCTGGGCTAACATCTGTGCCCCATATTCCTCTATTTTATATGGGATGCCACCACAGCATGGCTTGACAAGTGGGGCATTGGTCCACGCCCGGGATCCGAACCCACGAACCCCGGGCCACCAAAGTGGAGTGCATGAACTTAACCGCTATGCCACCAGGCTGGCCCCTATTTTTAAAAATTTTAATCATCTATCCACGCCCCCACCCCCTGCAAATATAAGCTCCATGAAGGCAGGGGCATTTTTGAGTTCAGTGATGTGTCCTCAAGATTCTTAGAACAATGCCTGGCTCGTAGAAGTTGCTCAGCAAATGTTTATTGGGTGGATGGAGAGGACATTGGACAGAGAATCAGGGCACCTGTGTTCTGGGCCTGGCTCTGTCACCCCTTGGCTTTGTGAACAGATTGTACAGATGAGGGAACAGGTTTGAGAGATCAAGTTACTTGTCGGGGAGCTGGAGTTCGCACCAGGCTGTCTGGCCCCCACTCCTGCCCTCCACCACCTCCCTGACCTTCTGACCGGGGGCTGGATGGAGGAAGAGCATTAGGAGTGCTCGCACGGGGCTCCCAGGCACATCATGAGGGGGTCTGGACTGGGGGAGGCTGAGGACCGCAGAATCAGTGTTGCTCATCTGCTTGCAGAGGGGACCGGGCCTTCTCAGGTGGCCCCCCGAAGGGACCTCCTGCAGCAGCCACCAGACCTGGGGCTTGCCAGCTCCTTGAACCACCTGGATGCCCCTGGCCTGGCCAGCTGGCCCCTCGGCACGGAGGAGTCCCTCAACCTACCTCACTGTGTGGAGTTCGGCTGCAGGGCTGAGGGGGCCTGCCCCTGCCCCCCAGTGCCGCAGGCCCCCATCGACGGCAAGATTGCAGGTGAGTAGGAGGCTGTGTCCCCCCACCTGTAGGGAGGTGTGCTGAGGCCAAGTCCCAGAGGGGTCACAGGTGACGAAGAGGAGGGTTGTTTTCATCTCGGGGGTGAGAGGGTCTGTGCCGGGTGGTGGGGGTGTGGGGTGACTGTCCTGTGTACTGGCCACAATCTGGGTGGCCAAGCCCACCCTGTCCCCAGGACAGCGACAGTTTAGCCAGTCACAACAGTCAGACAGTCAGATTGGTATGAAGTTTCCCCTCTTTAAAACTTTATTTATTTTTAAATAGTTGAGTGCTTACTACATGCCGGCATGGTTCTAAGGCCTTTATTTAATCCCACAACAGCCCTTTGAGGTTGGTATTGTTATTAGCCCCATTTTACAGATAGGGAAAAATGAGGCACAGAGAGGTTAAGTGACTTCCCCATGATCACACAGCAGTAAGTGGCAGGATGTGAGCCCAGGTGGGTCCGGCTCCAGAGCCTGAGCTCTAACCAGGTGATACACTCCCACTCCACATTCGTTGTTAAAAGATTGACTAACAGACGGGCAACCAGACAGACTGACAGATAAGCTGCCCGCCTTTCCAAAGGGTGTTTTCTAGTCTGGCGGGGCTACTGCATTTATTCTAAGACTAGAAGGCAGAAGCCTGGCTTCTTGGTTGGAAATGGCTGGGAATCACTAAAACACAATGATTTGGTCTTTTTAATAATAATACTTAGCATTCCTTGAGCACTTGCTCTGTCCCAGGCACCATGCTGAGGGTGCTTTCGTCTCTGGTGTTCTTAATCCTCACGTCACCCCATATGCGGAACTGGGTTGGAAGAGGTTGGGTGACTGGCTGGAAATGACCCAGCCAGGCCGCCCCGGGAGTGGGACTTAGGTCTTGCTCCCAGGCTTCCTCTGCCGCTTGTCTTCTGTGGTGGCACATTTGGTTTTCCTGAACCTCCCGTTAGGGGCCCGAGAAGCTGGATGTCATGGACCTGGTTTAACAGAGATCCAGGAGGCTGAGTGACTGGGCCAGGGGCAGAGAGGGACTTGGAGACAGGGCTCCGGCCACCGGCCAGCACCCACACCGCCTGCCCCGCTGCCTGTCCCCACGTGAGGGGGGCGTTGGTGACTGCAGAGCTGAGTCAGACTCCCTGCTCTGCCTGCCAGTTAGGAGCTCGGGGCCTTGGGATATGACTGTACCCCTCTGAACCCATTTCCTCATCTCTCCCTGGGGATGACCTAGACTTAGGGAGATTGAGTGAGACACTGAATAATGAGCCCCACGAGTAGCTGTTCCTGTTAATACCGTCACCTTCACCATCCTGCCGCACGCCTGGGCCCCAGCCCCGAGAGCCCCAGCGCCCCTTTCTTGTGCTCACAGCGCCGGGAAAGCACCCCGTCTGCACCCCCTGTGCTCAATTGCAGACTGCCGGCTGCTGTGGGATTACGTGTACCAGCTGCTCTCTGACACCAGGTACGAGCCCTACATCAGGTGGGAAGACAAGGACGCCAAGATCTTCCGAGTTGTGGATCCAAATGGGCTCGCCAGACTTTGGGGAAACCACAAGGTGAACCTCAGCCAGCAGGCGGGATGGTCTCAACATATCAAGAAGAGGACAGAGCAGGGGGTCAGAGTGGACCCCTCAGCACTAGGGGACAGTCCTCAACTGACAGGGGCTTCACCAGCAGCCCCAGAAGTGTTTGGATCATTTTATTTTGGGAAATCCCGAGGGATAGACAGTTACTTCTTGAGGATGGAGGCTGTCCCTGAACTCAGGGATCTTGCCTTCTAATTGCTTAATCCCACCTTTGCTCAGCGTTTGAGCCTTTCAGAGCTTGTTTACATGAGTTGAGCATTGCATGCTATGGGGCCATTAGGCCAGATGAGGAAGCTGTTCCCTGGAGGAAGCTGGGACAGAAACCCAGGTCTCAGTGCCCGCAGGAGCATCGGGTGTCAGGGCTGGAAGGGCCTGGGGACGACGGAGGCCAGGGTTCCCAACGTGAGGAACGCCCATACCTAAATGGCGTCTGCCGGGGGTTCTGGGTGCTTTACTCCAAATTCTAATAATTAAGTATTTATTTTAGTAAGAATTAGGATTAAAAAATTTAACTGCTATGCTAATCTCATGATTTACAGTGGTGAAATAAAGCAACTGTCCTTGTCTGTAAATAAATTCACTTAAGTTAAAAAAATGAATCTTGTAAAGAAAACTGTTGACAGTAATGATAATCTGTAGTATGAGCATTTCCTAAATTGGTACAGCATTTGATTGCCCAGCACTACTCTGAGGGTTTTACGTGTATTAACTCATTCAATCCTCACAAGAACCTCGTGAGGCAGATATTATCAAGTGGGGAAACTGAGGCACAAAGTGGCTTATCAACCTCTCCAAGAGTTTGCAGCGAGTAGGTGACAGAGCAGGGACTTGAACCCAGCCCCTGTAGCTCTGTGCTCTGCTCTATTTTGTTGCCTCTCAGTAGTGCTGGTGGCTGGAAGGATGCAGATGACTGAAGTTTGGGCATCCTTATCTGGTCAAATCCCCGTATAGTACAGGGAGGGAAACTGAGGCCCAGAGAGTAGCAATTCCATTTAATGCGTGCGCTCATGGATTAACTAATTTAATCCTCGCAACAAATCTGTGAGACGGGTGTTTTTATCCTCATTTTATTGCTGGGGAAACAGATTCAGAGAGGTAAGGAAACTCATCCGAGGTCACACAGCTGCCAAATGGAGGAGCTGGGGCTTCATTGACCCCAAAGCCTAGTCTCTTTGCTCCTACTCTGTACTGCCCACCCCCCAGAGAGAAGAAACCATGCCTTGGCCAAAGTCACGCAGCTGGTGGCAAGGTCCTCGTACCACCCACCATGCTGTGTCTTCGACTAAATATATCTTTATTTGTTACTACTTGTGACATTCGCTATTTAAAAGTGGCCTGCGATTCACTCCTGCCCTGTGGTTCTCACCCAGGTGGGTGAGAGAACCATCCCATTATTTCTCCCCGACCTTCCCCTGCCTTTCTCCTTCCACACTCAAGAGGACTCTCCTACACCCTCATAGCACCCTGGGCTGAGGGGCTAAAAAACCATCCAGTCCAACCTGCTCCCTTCCCAGTGTGGAAACCGAGGCCTGGAAGGAGCGGGGTGGAGTGGGGGTGACACAGGGCTGCTTTGCCTTCCAGAACCGGGTGAACATGACCTACGAGAAGATGTCCCGTGCCCTGCGCCACTACTATAAGCTGAACATCATTAAGAAGGAACCGGGGCAGAAACTCCTGTTCAGGTGAGCCACCTAGGGGCCAAGGTGCAAAGGGGAAGCGGGGCTGGGGTTGGGTGGGCTGGAAGCCCCCTGCAGCTGGGGCAGGGGCTGATTTGCAGCTGGGGCCTGGCTTCCAGATTTCTGAAGACACCAGGGAAGATCATCCGGGACAAGGGCAGCCGCCTGGAGGAGCTGGAGAGCCAGGAGCAGGACAGGCTGGATTTCAAGGAGAAGATTCAGGAAGTCTCTCCATGAGGAGCACGTGGACTCCGGGCACCAGGCACCGATGGGGCAGAGACTGAGTCTCCCATGATGGCAGCTGGCCGCGCGGCGCCTCCTCCCTCCTCCCAGGGTAGCTGGGTTTTGTACTTGCGGGATCACAGCTGTTGTCTCGGACCTCAGAGCTGCCTGGGGACCTGGGAGGGCTGAGAACTGGGAGGCCCCACATCCAGGACACTATGGGGGGCATCATTCTTTGCGCAGCCTTGGGGTAAGTGGGGACACAGGGAGTGAGCTCTCTCCCTGCCCTGCCCCTCGGTACCTGCCTAGCTTGGGAGAGACAGCTGGGCGCTGAGAGAGATCCAGCACAACTCCTTCAGCTTCCAGAAGAGGCAAGCAGAGGTCCCTCGCTGAGCCTCAGCTTTCCTCATCTGTAAAAGGGGCATGCTCAGGAAATGCGCCCTCAGGGGGCTGATGCATGAAATGGAAAAAAGAACGACTGCTTTGTCAACCTCGGTACTAATAGCAACAACGATACCTGACGTTGAGGTGCTGGCTGTGTGCCTGGCCTGGTGCTAAGGGTCCTGCCTAGATTTTCTCTCATTCAGTTCACACACCAGCCCCCTGAGATTTAAAGATGAGGAAGTGGAGGCAGAGGCTTGCAGAGCCGGGCGCCTCTCCACAACCCAGTGATGTCACCTGTTTTCTGTCAGTGCCTCAGAATGTATCAGGCGCTTCTCATCAGAGGCCACGGCCCCAGCTCTCTGCCCTCAGCGTCTTTGCTGAACAGTTCCTTTCCCTTGGCCCAACCCCCTTGTCCTCAGTTTTCAGTCCTTTGGTAACTCTGTGGCCATGACCCAGTGAAGATTGCCCCTCCCCCGCGTGGCTCCCTATGCTCGCATACCCGTATCTGCAGCGTGACCTTGGGCAGCTGTTACACTCTCCGGAGCCTCAGGTTTCTCATCTGTGAAATGGGGATGCTACTCCCGACCTGATCTCACAGGATTGCCAGAAAACTTCGCTAACACAATGTTTGTGAGGTGCTCTGTGAGGAGCACTTAATCTGTGTTAGCCAGGAAAACTCTGCAAACCAAAAACTGCTCTAAAGCATGAGCGTGCCTCTGTCCTGTTAGTTCAGCTTCTCCTCTCTGCTCCCCAACCCCCAGTGCTGGCCAGGGCCTCTGAGGGCCAGAGCCTCTGCCCTGCAGCCTCCCGGGGAGGTGGGGGGAGCGAGGGAAGGGGGTGCTATCACTGAATCGAAAACAGAACTTCTTGGATTCGCATCTTCTTTCTTGGAGGGAGGAAACCACCTCTGCCTCTCCCCTCCAGCGAGTCAGGAAACCCCCGTGTGGTGAGCCTGAGCTGGCCGTGAGTCACTGACGGGAGAAGCTGATAAGGGTCTTGGACTTTGGGACTCAAAGCTGTGACCGCTCATGAGCAGGGAAACTCCTGGCTTAGTCCTGCCTGGGGTTCTCTGCAGTTCCACCCCAGGAGGGGCCAGCCAGGTGGCCTTGGCAAAAAGGGTCAATAGGAAAATCCTTGCCTCCGCTCATCTCCCCTGGGACTATTCCATCCCCAACTTTGCTCTAGGATGAACCCACACCCCATAGCTTTTCTCATCGTCCCCTGCCCAGAACTACATAACTGGACTGGAGGACTGCCCAAATCCACTTGCCCAGCCCTTTCTTTTATAGATAAGGCAACTGAGGCCAGAGAGGGAGAGTGACTTCCTCAAAGTCACACAGCCGGACTCAGCGTGCTAGCTTCTAATGCTGCCATGTTTCTTGTCTCGCATCTTGCTCATGGGTCCAAGATGTGGAGGTTTAAACAAGACGATGGTGTCGTAAGTCACTTCTTTAGGTTATGATGTTGGCATTTGCCTGCTGCTGTGTTAATAGTTGTCAATCGCACGGACTATGTCTTCACCCAGCAGGAGACCTCTCTTTGGGCCAGGAATGGGCCGTGGGCTCAGGCAGGGTCCACCGCCCCGGATCCCAGATCCTTGGACTCTCCACTCGGCCCTGGGCTGAACTCCACCTTTCCCCACCTCCCTAGGCCCATTAGGCCCTGGCCTGGGCTGGACACCTGGGTGCCAGGAATAAAGGGATTCACTCAGCCCTTCCTTCCATGCGCATTAATCGGCACCTGCTGTGTACCTGGCACCAGGTGAGGCTCTGGGTTTATATCCACTTTACACAACTAGATTCCTGAAAAGTGGTAGGTCGCTGACAACTACATATGTCAAAGTGAACTTCCTCACAATTTTAAAAAGCAGGAAATGTATTCTCATGGTTTGAAAAAGTAGCCAACCATGCCTTTCTTTTTTTGCCAGATTATATTAAACTCACAATAAATAATTTATGAAAAAAAGTGAGTATGTTAAGAAATTCGTTAATTAAATCAATGGTCCAAGTCACTGTCTCCATCCAGTCAAGTGGCTGACAATATTAACCCAGAAGCATGGGCTCCCATATTCCCCATCTTCTCGATTATACGGATTCTTGCTGAGAAAATCTTTTTCCCTCCTAAGGAAGCTCCAGATCCAGCCCTCTCCCCAGCTTTATTGAGACACGATTGACATGTAACATTGTGTAAGTTTAAGGTGTACGACGTCTGGCACGTTCTTTAATCCTGGTGGCCCTGCCACGTTCGGGCTCTTACTGCAGGCAGCCCGGGCTGATGCTGGTGATCCGTTCTCCTTCTCTTGCAGGATCCCAGTGGTGGCAACCTTTCTTGGCTTCTTCCTCTGGTCCCTCCCTATGATGTTAATTCACATTTTCTACTCAAGTGTTCTCTCAACAGTTTTATAGTGACGTGCAGGAAACACATTTACAGGGCAAGGTCTCGATACCGCCCATCTATCCAGCGTCTGGTGGTAAATGCGAGGGTGGTGCTGGCTCAGAAGGAGCTTGTTGAAGGCTGGTGTCAGGTCCCCTCCTCCGCACTGGCTTGGCCACTTGGTGGGACCTCTGAACTTAGCCGCCAATCGGACAGCCCCAAGATTTGGGTGGGGAGTTTAAAGTGGGTTGTTCTGAAATCAGAATGTGCATATTTCAAAAATATTTTAGTCATGATCTTGATTTTTTAAATTCCCAAATCTTTGTAGGATAATCGCTCATATGGGGAGGGCTGGGGGTGGGGGTGGCACACAGAGGAGAGCAGGGCCCCGCCCTCGGGAAGTTCACACGCCAGTGTGGGAAGCAGAGGTGGCTGGTGAGCAGACGCTGTCGCAGTCCCCAGGGAGGCGTGCAGTGAGAGCACGCCCGTGGGGTCAGCAGGGGACAAAGTGGCATTGGTGAATTCTGCTTGGGAGGCACCAGGAAAGGTGTCCCTAAGGAGGATCATACAGGCTCCTGCTGTTTCCCCCCTTCCCTTTTGGAGGGTGTGGTCTGGAGGCAATGGGGTGCTGTGGGCCTTCTGATCATGAGGGGTCAGGGAGAATGCGGGGTGCAGGGGAACCAGGAGCGGGGCTGACTGCAGAGGCCCGTCCCTGAGGGAGGGCAAAGGGGTCTTGAGGTTCATGCCTGGGTCAGCCTGGCTCACTGAGACAGGGAAGGGGCCGAGCCCCTCCCGAGGGTGAGGAGGGAGGCTTTGGGGAGAGGGAGGGGCTGTCTGACCCATGCGGAGCAGCCAGAGGAAACTCCCCAGGGCGGCACCTGCACATAACCCACTTCCCGGGGCAGCTGATGCTTGAGAGGAAAAGCATCGCTTGAAGCCAGTCCACAGGGCGCCTTCAGTTGTTCACCCAACAGACTTGACCCAGAGCGTGGTCCCAGGCGCTGCACTGGGGGCTTCACTCACGTCACAGGAGCCCGGCCTCTGACGCCCAGGTCTAGGTTTGGGATGGACCGTTGATTAAAACTATGCCCTTTTCTCAGAAATGTAGTGAAACTGGAAGGAGAAATGGTGCGGGGAGCAGCTGGCCTGGGGCGGCGGCTCAGCATGGGGCGGGCAGCATGTTCACCTTGGGGGCAGCTCAGCCCTGCGGGTCACACTGGAGCAGAAAGTCTGGGGCGGGAGCTGGAGCCCGTCTCATTGTCCCAGGAAGCTGAGCAGAGTTCAGCACTTGCCTCGAGCGGGGCTGCACCGGCCCCTGAGCCCTCAGATGTTTTCGATTTTGCGCAAATTAAGTGAACTCCACGTGGTAATTAGCATGGCTTCTACCAGCAGTTGCAAAGCCCTATGGTGAATAATAAGTGATACAGTAAGATAAACATAAATAGTAGTATAATAAATGTAATGAAAATATCACTTTGGTAGTCAAAATCTTTCGGAATCTGATGTCCATGGGGCAAAAACTTACAGGGTTTTTTTTTGTGGTGGTTTTTGTTTTTGTTTTTTTGGTGGTTTCATGGAGGCTCATGCAGGACTGACCTGAATTGGGACGTTTTACCTCTGGGCAAAGACAATTCAAGGTCACTCCCAAATATGAAGATGAGCAGAATAAATGAGCCTTCTCCTGCCCTACTCCAGGTGGCTTCCCAGTTTGTCATCCCAGGAATCTGGAGTAAAGTTTGGGGTGTTGTGTCCCCTCCAATCCCAGGGACATGCCTCAGCAACCCCCGAGTCACGTTAATAAATCCTCCCTGTAACAGTGGCCTCTCTGAGGCTTGGTGACGCCTGGTCCACTGCAGGGGCCCCGCTGAGCTCTTGAAAACTGATGAGTCCTGGTGAAACTGTGAGAGCCTCTATTCTGGCTTCATTGTCCGGGATTCTGGGACACTCAGGCTGAGGGCTCCTCTCCACGGAAAGGCCTGCAGTTTAAAACCATGTCCACCAGGTGGTGCAAAAGCCCCTTTGTAGTGGTATTAGGGACCACTGTCTGGGGACAGTGCCTGTTCTGTGACGCAGCAAGCCTGCCTTCTCCCACTAGGATGTGAGTACAGCTCTCCAACTCAGGCACACTCTGTAAGGACACATCCAGACCCTGCTTGAACACCTCCAGGAACGAGGAGTAGCAGGAGTGGGGATGCAGCTGATGGCACCAAGAAGCCACCTGTTCAGTGATAATGTCACCCTTCCTCTCCCAACCCACAGGCCACTGGTTTCTGAAATTCCTATCTTCCCAGTCTCTTTGTTGGGAGGAACTTATTATCTCATTTTCTTATCATTGTATCCCTGAGTAGTTTATCAAATTTCTGAGCTGAGGCCACGAGGAGACCTTTCACAGGTCTGGGACACAGGCCAGGGTGTATCAAAAGCCTCTCTACCCTCACCCCTCTTCCCCACGCAGCCCCTGATTAGGAAAGAAAAGGACTGAGTCTCCCCTAGTTCCTGGTGGCTTTAGTGAAGTCCACCTTTTGAGCCTAAGTTTCCACATCTGTAAAATGGG